ACATGCAGTCGCGGCTTGGCTAGGCATGCCTGTACGGCCAGAGCAATGAGGATACCTTTGTGATTGTGTTGTATGACCATGAGAAGCTTGGTAGCCATGAATTTGAATGTTCGGAGGATCATTAGACGAAGGTGCACCGTCATACAGCATGACATGACCGCCATAACAGCGAGGTTGTCTTCTATGAGGAGTTTGTCCAACATAATTCTTTTGATCTCTCTGCCATTCTCTTCTGTTATCGCGCTGAAGCTACGGACATGAATAAGGTAATGTAAGAACAAAATCGATCGCTTTGCATCACAAAAACGCTAATATAAAAATATAAAATGATGCATTCGTGGCTAAAAACTATGCAACGTAGAATCGACCATGTGATTCTTACCCTATTCATCTTCGTTTATGTTAGCAAAGATACTGTCACAAATCCCCCAGAACGATAGTAGTGTGTAAGATTAAATCGATGCGCTTACTGTCAGCACAAAACAAGCAGCTGACTAACACTTCTGCTTCTTGGAAGAACACGCGCCTAACGTGCACATCGCGAACAACGCGCACAACGCTCAACGTGGTAAGATGATACGATGATTGAAAAAAGCACCTTTTCGTGTCTCTAGATGTTAGCATGAATTTATAGAAACAAACACAGTATATTCATTCAGCGAAAAGTTTTTGCAAACGTTGATGACAGTTCTCGATATAGCGCGCGCGTTTTCAGCTCGTAATTCAACCAAAAATATTTACAGTTCTTAGAATAGTGCGCGTGTGTATAGCACATTTCAACAAACATTTATGACAGTTCCCGGAACAGAACGTCCACATGCATGTTAATAACGTTCAACATGCATGATTCGGCACTTCTTGGAATAGGGTGTGCCTATCCTATTAACTATTAAAGCTTTATCGACATCCGCGGACGAAGAATGAGTATCTCTGAAGACATTCCAAAAAACATTATGAAGAATTCCTAGTTTAGCAAGTGTGAGCCATCTTCGATCATATAGTTTGACATGCAATATCCACAGTTCTCGCCGCGAAAAAATGTAGTGGTTTTATATGACTCTCTGTCTACTATATTGATCTCACGCGGCCAAAGGAAGCCCTGAAGAAATACATGTAAAATATATTTTTTGCAATTTAAAGAACAACACATCACTTACGTATTTTGGTCTATTTTGCTTAATTTTGTAAATAGTAGTTCGATCAAGGACGCGCATCGTCTTTTGTTTTGATTTGCTTCAAGAAGGCTTTTGTTTTTGAGGTGGCCACATGTTGCACTATATTTTTAAAAATGCATAATGATTAACGCAATGCACTGAGATGATTCTTGTTTGTTTTTTGGTTTGTTTTCTTTTTTTGTTTGTTTGCTTTTTGTTTGTTTGTTTTTTGTTTGTTTGTTTTTTAAGTTAAGTAATTAAGCCCTCGCCCGAACTCATTTTTTGGAGTTATTTCCAATGGCAACCAGATTGACAGATGCTTAACAACGTGCCTGGGATCGATTTTGTGAAAGGTATTCCTCGTGATCGTGACCTTGACGATGACTGGTTATTTGATCCTATAAGATGAATAATCTCATGGTCATTGATGATCAAATGACGGAAACATCGAACGATAAACGCATCCTGAATCTATTTACAAAGGGATCCCACCAAAGAAATCTCAGCGTCGACTTCCTTCTATAGAATATTGAATTTCAAGGGAAAATCATGTGCACCTTGAGTCTGAATGCAGCCTATCTTGTTCTGTTCAAAAATCCAAGAAACAAACTGCAAATAGTGAAATTGGGAAAGCAAATATGCCCTGGCAAAACCAACCAATTTGTTCAAAAATATGAGGCCGCTGTACGGCTACCTTTTTTTCGATCTTAAAGCTAACACCAAGGACGAGTTTCTATTACGAACGAACGTTCTTCTGATCACCCATCTCAAACTGAGAGTCAATCTGAGGACTTGAAGGATATCACTGACTTCTTTTAACGTTAAAGCTACTTACAAACACTTGAACTAAAAATCATGAAAATAAAAGGCAGAAGAGCGCATGAACGCCATTTTGAAAGACCCTACCCCAACTCCAGACGTGAAAATGAATATGGCCCACTTCTGAATAGTTTTCTAACTCTACAACAGTCAAATCATGATACCAGGCGAGGCGCCAATTCTCAGCCTATCAACAGTGATTGAGCAGAGTCAGCTCTTAATTGAGGCCAGTCCGCAAACTAGTCCGTTCAACATCGGTTTTGCTTCAGCTACCAAACCAAAATAACTTTCCCTCCTCCAACGAATAAAATCGAAAGTCAGAGCACCTTTTAAATGGTGACGACTGGAGCAGTGCATTAATATCAATATCTGATACTCAAGAAGCAAAATTGGCTTAAGACAGGGGAATGACGAGAGGAATGCAGTAGACAACAGTGTTTTGAGTTGCCAGACGTTTGTCCTTCAACTCTGAACAACAAGCAGAGGTCAATAGTGAATCTAGTGCTGTATACACTGTACAACATGCTAGAGAATACTGATGACTATTCGCCATTAAGACTTATAGTCTCTGGAGCTGGACGAACTGGAAAGTCTTATGTAATCAATCGACTGGTACGACAGGTGTTTGAATGGAAAGAGACAATACAGGTTATTACCCCAACAGGTAATCCAGCTTATCTTGTGGAGGGTCGTACCGCTCATAGCTTTTTGTCGCTACCAACTGATGGAAGATCGTGCAGCGAGATAGCTAGGCCATCGGGATCTGTTCTTGAAAGAATCCAGAATAGATGTGAAAATTTGAAAGTGCTTATTGGAGACGAGCGATCAATGTTTGGCCGCACTGCAATGGGCTGGAGCAGCAAACCCAATATGGAGTGAATAGGGGAAATTCTTCCGAAGAACTCTGGGGAGGCATTCCAGCTGTTGTAATGATGGGAGATGATGTACAGTTACCTCCTGTCTGCGATAAACCCGTCTATGTACCTGATGCTCGTAGTGCACCCCTAACCATGGAAGATTGGTGTGGACAAATTTTGATAGCGTAGAACTAACCCAGATAGTAAGACAATCCGAGTCAGAATTGCAGTTGCGAGATATTCTAATGTCCATGCGAACCTATACCACCACATCTGATCAAGTTCACTGGCTTCAGCAGTTTCAGTGGCACAATCTGGAAAGGACTCATGGAGAAGGGCTATTGCAGAGGATGGATGAACATGGTTTGTTTGTGTTCCCCACTCACCGTTTGGAATGGGAACGTAACAAGAGTAAGCTGCTCGAGTGTAATCGTTTTCCAGATAAAAGCAGCAAATAACGGTAAGCATGCTCAGAAGGCTAAAAGCAACAAGGCTGGAAGATTACTCCAACTTCTGTATCTTTGTCGTGACACTAAGGTTATGCTTGTGGCAAACCTGAAGGCTGAGTGGGGTTTGTACAATGGAGCAGTTGGCACAGTGGTTAATATTGTTTGTCTTAATGGTCGACGGCCAACTGATAATCCCCAACCATGATCCGATGTTGTTTTGGTGAATTGAATGGATACAGAAGGCCAGTCTTTATTGTCATACAACTATTGTACCAATTAGCAGATCAATATACAAACTTTGTTCTCAGTACAAAATCCTGGAAGCTGATGATTGGTCCACTGTCCTTCTGTAATTGAGGTAAAACATGGTTTTTATGCTGCAAAACTATTACAGCATAAAAACCATGATGTAATTAAACACGCGCTCTGATTGGCTAACTCAATCTTTTGACGTCACTGGCACCTTTGAGGCGCCAAAGCTACGCTAGCTAGTACGTATTTGCCGGTAAAACACTCACATCAGTCTCTAACCCCTAAATAACCTATGTCGTTTAACTCTTTGCCTGATAAACCTTTGTGGATTTTTTTGTGTGACAATTTGTCCGATGAATAAAATCGGACAATTTTTATTTTTCAGCTAAAATACTATGATATGCCACTTTTCCAAAAAATACAATTTTGTTCCTCAGAATAGTACACGACAGAGGCGGATAGGGGGAGGGTTAGGGGGTTGATAGTGGTAGATTCGATTGACACTTCAACGCGTTGATGGTTGGGTACCTATGGCAGCATTTTACTTATCGGATATGCCGATAATTAGAATAAGGAAACAAAAAAAAGGAAATTATTACAAGCACTAATGGTTGTATGTGTTGTTTATAGAACTCGAGTGCGTGTTCATCTCGCGCTTTATCGCAACCAAAAACTAGCATCATAGACCTTTGCTAGGTTTTAAATCAGTTTTATTCAATGTGCAGACATGCACTTTAGAATAGACTAACTATTCTTCCGTGTGGGTTCAAAATCATTTCAATTGTGGCACATGCTCATTAAAAGCTTGATATGCATTATCACTGTTTTCGCATTTTCTAGCTTTTTTTCTGGATCTTTGAGTTCTAGAAGTCGTTTGTAGAACTCGAGTGCGAATAACTAACAACTATACACTGGAATAAATGAGCTATGAAGCAAAATCATCCTTAAGGCCCGTTTACACTTGCAATTTTTGATGTTATTATTATTTTTGTCTATAAGTACAGCCTCCAACTATTTTCTTTATCCGATGGCTATGTTCAGTTGCTTAAATTTGGTTATTTTGATTTACACCTTGCATAATAAAGCCTAATTCATTGTAATAAGTGCGCGCGCTGTTTCTTGTAAGTTTCTTCGAGCGCTTTGCTGTTAGCTGAATATTATAGGTGTACTTTCAACCTTGATAATGCCCGCTTAGGCCGAAAACCGAAAGATCTTAACTTTTAGAATCCGACCACATCCGACAGAATGTAGAATTCGACTTTCATAACCAAATAGGTGTATATATATTTAAATCTAATTTTTTGGAAAACACGTATGAATTGCAAACTGTTGTCAAATCAATCAATCAGTCAGTCAAAGAATTTTTATCGCAAGTAAGTTTATTCAAGAAGCATTGTGAATACAAACTTGTTTTCATTTCTTCATTTTTAATCATTTCATTTCAATACGAACATCATTCATAGTCTATTTCTATGCTAATTATATAGCCACATATTAATCCCAAATAGGTAAAAGCTGGATTTTTCGTTAATTTTGGAATCCTGTCCAATTAAGAAATTAATTGGACAGGTTTTCAATTGGGTTTTTGTTAAAAGCTGTGGTTGGCTTTTACCTATTTGGGATCAATATGTGGCTATATAATTAATAGGTAATAAGACTCCATGCTGTCCAATTAAGAAATAATTAGACTCGAAAAATTCCTCTGACTGCCAAATTGGACTCGGCCACGGCCTCGTCCAATTTTTGGCAGTCCTCGGAATTTTCCTCGTCCAATTATTTCTTAATTGGACAGCATGGAGTCCTATTACATATAA